ATTCTGTTCTCTTTGGCTAACTGTGTAACTTAAAAACTATTAGTAACTTTGTTGTAAAAGTCTAACGTTTAGAGTCTAAGAAAATGGATAAGAATCACCTACACTAAAGGCCTGGGTTTCCAGGTCAAAGATTTCCTATTGACTGGTAAATGATGTTCAAGGGACAATTTAAGAATATGTTCATCTACGAAATTCTTAAGTTTTGCTGTGCATGGTGTCACACGCCTGAAATCCCAGCTACTGGGAAGGCTGAGGCAGGAGGATAGCAAATTTGAGGGTATCTTTGGCAACTTACTGAACCCTGTCCCAGAATAAATTGAAAAGGGCTAGGGTTGCAGCTCAGTGCTAGAATGCCCCTGAATTCAATCCCTAGTACTGTGGGAAGAAAAACAAAAACAAAAAAACCTTTCAGCTTTTAACATAAATTCATAAGTCAGTCCTGGGAACTTTCTGGTAGTTAATATTGTCCCATTGGCCACTATTATAACTTCAAAATCTTGGGGCTGGAGTCGTGGCTCAGTGGCAGAGTGCTTGCCTAGCATGTATGAGGCAGGGGTTCTATTCTCAGCACCACATATCAATAAATAAAAATAAAGGTCCATTGACAATTAAAAAAAAAACAAACTTCAAAATCTCTTTTTTATATACATCAAAGAGCATTTTACAGCTGGGCATGCTGATGCATGCCTGTAATTTCAGTAACTCAGGAGGCTGAGATGTGAGGATCCCAAGTTCAAGGCCACCTTCAGCAATTCAGCATGACCCTGAGCAACTCAGTGAGACCCTGTCTCAAATTTTAAAAAAGGCTAGGGATGAAGTTCATTGGTAAAGTACCCCCTGGATTCAATCCCCCCCCCAAAAAAAAGACCATTTTACTATTTAAACCAGGGATTGAACCCAGGGGGATTAAGCGCTGTGTTACATCCGCAGCCCTTTTAAATTTTTCATTTATTTATTTAGTTTAGGGATAAGATCTCACTGAGTTGCTTAGTGCCTCACTAAATTGCTGAGGCTGGCTTTGAACCTGAGATTCTCTTCCCTCAGCCTCCCAAGCCATTGGGATCACAGTCATGTGCCATAGCACCCAGCTTGGAGCAAAAAATTGCAAAAGGATAGTAGATTCAAATATAATTACACATTATATACTTTAAAGAAACTGGGAACAGTGGTATGGTTCTGTAATCCTAGCTACTAGGTAGGCTGAGGCAGGAGAATTGCAAATTCCAGGTCAGGCTTGGCAATTCAGCCACATACTGTCTTAAAATAAATAGGGCCAGGGATGTATCTCAGTGGTAAAGTGCTTGCAGTACTAGGTTCAGTCCCCAGTATTGGGGGGTGGGGTGGGGAGTGATATCTAAATTTAAGAAATTTTAAGTCTTTTTTTTTTGACCTACAAATTCAAAAAATAAATATTTAGATGTTTATTTAGAAACATTAGAAAATACAAATAATCCAGTTCTCCTTATTCTTAAACACCATTAACATTTTAGTATTGTTTTTCTAATTTTTTTCCATCATACATTTTACAAATATAGAATCATTAAACAACATATTTGATAGAGGAACACAAACCAACTTGTGATTTTATCTGGGTTAGGATTATGAGAGACACTTTTTTTAGATGCTTTTTTTCATGTGATTATTATAAAATGATCATGTATTACTTTTCTAATCAGAAAAAAACAAAGATATTGAAAAGAGTATATCATGAATGCTTTTATGTCACAAATATTTTATAGCTGCATCATTGATTTTAAACGATTTTGGAAACTAATATTCTACAAAGTGACTTGATTTAATATGAGGAATTAAGCATGTATTTATCTTGTTTCCCTGTGAAAGTCTACTTGAATGAGAATATATAAAAATTCATAAGGCCAGTCTATTGTTGTAGCTCAGTGGTAGAGCACTTGCCTAGCACATGTGAGACACTGAGTTTGATTCTCAGCACCACATAAAAATAAATTGATTAAAGGTAATTTGTTCATCTACAGCTAAATTTTTTTTTTTTTAAATCCACGAGGCCTGAGAGAGTGAGAAAAAACAGTGGATGAAAATTTTTGGCATATTCTTATTGGGAGAAGGAAAGGGATCTAAGCTGAGTGCAAAGGGGAGTGTAAATACTGTAAATTAGAAGTAAATCAATTTATATTTAATAACCACAGAAAAGTTCATAAATTGGAAGTACCACATCAATGGGAGGGTGTGTAAGGGAATTGATTGAAAATTTGTACAATCCAGTCAGACTTCTAGTTTCAGGTCACCATCCCTAGGCCAAGCGACAAACTCATCCCAAATTCTGCAAGATAGAATAATATGCAGTTGGTAAAGAAATTGAACCACAGGGGTCAATTCCTCCACCTAGTGTCTTTGAATTTCCAGACACTAGCCTAACAAAAAATAGATTGTAAATAAGTGTAAATGTAAAATAAATAGTGAGACCAATCCTTACTCCCTTCTACTGTTTACTCTCAGAATTCTTAGAGCCATGTGTATACATTCTAGGCAGGAGATGCTTCTATAGATAGTCCAGAGGAGACACCTGAAGGTGACCTTTTGGAGAACTTCTAATGAAATGGCCTGATCCCTGTGCCCTTTCCTCATTTTTCAATATCTTTTCAATGGTAAAGTGCCCACAGAAGGCTGGGGTTGTGGCTCAGTGGTAGAGCGCTTGCCTAGCATTTGTAAGGTACTGGGTTCATTCCCCAGAACCACTTAAAAATAAACAAGTAAAGGTATTATGTCCATATACAACTAAAAAAATAAAATTAAAAAAAACTGCCCACAGACACAGTTTATGCTCTACTACCTCCACACCTCTCTGTAGGCCTCTGTCTTCTGCAATAAAGGAAGAACCAGCCTATGGAGAATGACAGTCATGATGATTACTAAGTTGCCTTCAGGGTCATTCTTCCTTTTTCTGGAAGGTGAATATTTTTCCATATCTGTGGCTTCACTATTTGTGATTTCACTTTTAGCAGTTTGTTACCCATAGCCTTGGTCTGAAAATGTTAAATTGAAAATTCCAGAAATAAACTGTTCATAAGTTTTGCATGGTACACCCTTGTATGTAGCATGATGAAATCTCACACCTTCCTGCTCCATCCCACCCAGGACATGAATCATCCCTTTGTCCAGCATATACTCCAGGCTGCCCATGCTTTCTGCTCTTAGTCACTTGGTGTTACTCAACTAGGCCTGTTTTGCCACTGCACATTGTATCAGTTACTGAAGCAACAAGGTTTTATAGAAGAGAAAGTTTATTTATAAGGTGGCTGAGCACAGAGGGGGAGACCCAAGTTTCAAATAGAGCTAGGGATATTTACAGAATAAAAAAGCAAGGTGGTTTTAAGGGATGGGGAAAGGTGATTGGAGGTAAAATAACCTGGTCTGCACATGAGTAATTAATGTTCCTAGCTCTCCATAGGATGCATGTTCAGAAAATGGTGGTATTAGTATATTCTGAAGATGGAGTTTTTGGCTCATTTATGTCAAATGGTCACCCATTGGACATCTGCACAGGCCCAGGTGGAGAGTTGGTGGTTTAGACAAAAGTGGCCTTCAAGTCCCTGAAAAGTTATCTTGGTTACCATTATCATGACCCACATGTCAGAGGTGTTATCTACACCAAAGGTAGTGGAAAACTCACACACACACATACATACATATATATATATATATATATATATATATATTTTTTTTTTTTTTTTTTTTTAAAGAGAGAGAATGAATTTCGGTATTTATTTTTCAGTTTTTGGTGGACACAACACTTTGTTTGTATGTGGTACTGAGGATCGAACCCGGGCCGCATGCATGCCAGGCGAGCACGCTACCACTTGAGCCACATCCCCAGCCCAAACTTGTGATATATTTCTTGGCTGTGTGATCTACAAATTTAATGATTTTAAAAAATATTTTATATTTATTTTTATTAGTACTTTACAGTAAAACATAATATTGGGATTCATTTTTACATAATCATAACAAGCATGGAATATTATTTGTTCCAATTCAGTCCCCAGTACTTCTACATTCCCTTCCCCCTTCTCGCCCCTATTTCCTTTCTTCTACTTTACTGATTGATTTTCATTCTATTTATTTATAGGTTGTTTTAAATTAGCTATTTTTAAAGTCAATTAAAAACAAGTAACTAAAACAAGTGAAACTGAAGGGTTTATTTAGGTTTTCCCTTGATTTCAGCAGCTGTTTTATCATCAAATTGATGGACTGCTGTGGTATTGCAGTGCTTATGTTCATGTAAACTTTCTTTTTCTTAATGGCCTCAAAGCACAAAAGTAGTGATAATGGCAATTTGAATATGCCAAAGAGTAACTGTGAAGCTCTTCCTTTAATTGAAAAGATGAAAGTTCTTACCTTAGTAGGGAAAGAAAAAGCTCATATGCTGAGGTTGCTAAGTTCTACAATAAGTACAAATCTATCAGTAAAATTGAGAAGGAATAAGAAATTCCTGTTAGGTTTGCTACTGTCACACCTTGAACTGCAAAAGCTATAGTCACAATGTGTGACAAAAGCTTCATCATCTGCCTCACTTCATCACATCATGTAGGCATTTTGTCATCTCATATCACAAGAGTGAAGTACAGTACAATAAGATATTCTTAGAGCTAGAGAGACCACATTCACTTAGCACTTTTTCTTTTTTTGGTACTGAGGATTAAACCCAGAGGTGCTTAACCACTGAACCACACCCCCCAGCCCTTTTTAATATTTAGAGACAGGGTCTTACTGAGTTGCTAAGTGCCTCAATAAGTTGTTGAGACTGACTTTAAACTCATGATCCTTCTGCCTCAACCTCCCAAGCTGCTGGGATTACAGGTATGCACCACCATGCCCAGCTCACATAGCTTTTATTATAGTATATTTTTATAATAATGGTTTTATTATTGTTAATCTCTTACTTTGCCTGACATATAAACATACATATATATGTATACATAATCTTTTATATATATATATAATCTTTATCACAGGTGTGTATGTATAAGAAAAAACATAGCATATACAGGATTTGGTAGTTAGGCATCAACTGGGGAGTCTTGAATGTATTCCCCACAGATAAGGGGAGTAGTGTGTGTGCGTTAACAGTAAAGACTTATTCAAGCTTTCTCAAGCCATGGCAACTTGTTCAGGCTGCATGAGTCAACAAGAGAGAAAAAGAACCCCACAGAAATTCTAGAACAGGAATTCAGAGCAAAACTAAGGATGGGATCCATCTCTAAAACTAGGTCATTCTGGTAATCCCTTGGCTGTAGCTTTTGGAGACTCTTAAAGGTGATATTTCACCTTTAACACCATTCAGCTCTTCTCTTGATGTCTACTTTCCTCTGGGGCATTTAATTCCCCTACTTCTCTCACAACTAAATTTTCTTCATATTTCTCAGTCCCAGTTGCCAAAATCAGAAAGAATCTTACTTTCTTAGTCACCAGTTGTCATCCTTTGCTCAGGCAGCTTAGCTGCCCTTGCACCAGGAAGGAAGGAGGAAGACTACAAGGAAATGTGGAATAGGACATGGGGTCTCAAAGGAATAGCCCAGCCACTTTTCTTGGCTGAAAGTATAGCCAGGGCAGTTTCCAGTTGTGAGTGTGTGATAAAGATATTCCAGAATTTCCTGACTCGTACTTGAAAGAGACAAATACAACTTGAGAGTTGAGGACTAACTAACCATCTCTGTGCCAGTTATCCTAGTGATTTCCAAAATACCTCCTAAATCAGCATCTCTTGGGTAAGTATCCAGGAATCTTTAAATAAACCCATAAAGTGATAGGATTTTTTTCCTTGTGAGCTTAGAATATAATCAAAGGATTATTTTGTGGACATTCTCTTCGTTCAAGTGACCAGAATGTGTCAAACATACTTAAAAGTGTTCATTTTAATTTTTGTATTGATATTATAGTTAGAAAGAATGGAATTTATCAATATTATATAATGGAATCATTAGAATTTTTCTTTTTTAAGTGCATAGGTTTATATGAAGTATTTAATCATAAAGTCAATAATTAAAAGATAGCTAAATGTAAGCATTTATAATGTAAGTAAAGTATAAGGATTTGTTTAATGCTCAAATTTCTAGTTTTTTGTCTTAAGAACCAATATGCTTAAGATTCTTTTAGAAGGTTTCTGGCTTTTGCAGGACAACAGGAAAATCTTTCAAGGTTGTGTTCTCTTCTGTTCTTGACTCAAATTCTTGAGGGCAGGTGAAACAATAATCAGTTATTCTATAGTAAGAAATATACCCCAAATTCCAGGGACATATAACCATATTTTTAGTTGTAGATGAACACACAGTATTTTTATTTATTTTTATGTGGTGCTGAGGATTGAACCCAGTGCCTTGCACTTGTGAGGCAAGCACTTTTCCACTGAGCTACAACCCCAGCTCCCTATAACCAGAGTTTTATTTCTCACTCATGCTGTATTGGAGCAACTGATCATCATGGCGTACAGAAGAGAGCCATTATCTCTCAAAACTTCTGCCAGGCAGTCACTAATATGCCATTATGTAAAAATGTGAGTATGTAACAGAAGTGAGTCTGTATTATGTATTTGGGAAGTTCAAAACCCAATTGAGTCGAATGTATGAAAGATGATATGTCTTGAGCTCTGTAATGTTTTGAACAACCAATTAAAAAAAAAAAAAAGCATAAGATGAAAACAAAAAAAAAAAATGACAACAAATGCTGAATGACATTGATTATTTTCAGTTTCTTTAGCTTCTCAGAAGCTTCTATAAGGACCTTACCTGGGTTTTGTACTAAGCATTTCCCCCCACGATAGGAAATTCTGCATTGGAAAATAAAATCAACGAATCCCGCAAAAAAAAAAAAAAAAACTTCTGCCAGGAAGTTGCCCCATGTCTTCTTCACTCATTTCACCGGTCAAAACAAGTCACATGACTGTTTGATTCCAGCAGGACGGGATATATAATCCTTATGTAGGAGAGACTCTACAGAGAGGGCACCAAATATGAATCAGTAGTATATAGTGTACCATGTAAAGACCATGGTCTTACATGGGATTATTTCAAATTACATTTAACTTTATTTCAGCACTAATACTTTGACCAAGTCATTTGCTTTCCCCAGCTTCAGCATATGACCAAATAAAATAATGTCAAGTACTCCTGTGGCCATTTTTGTGCGAATACAAGGGTATAGTTTTGTGCCAGACTGATCTGGAGATATATCTCATGGGCTGTAGTGGGTCATATTCTCCTTTAGTGAAGGGGAATAGTAGACACTGATTTGTTTAGACACATTAATAAAAAGATCTATTATCTTAGCAAAAATATCTATTATACTTTTTCTATAGCTAAAACAGTTTCCCCTTGATAGAATTTATATATTTTTTTTTACTTTTGGTTATGAAATCATCTGGGGTTTCAATTATATAAATGCTAAGAATTTTTAGTGTTATGTTAGTTGAATTTTGTATTGGGCATTGTGTGTCTTCCCAACTATGAAGCAGCTATATGATTATGGGGTTCAAGAGAAGACTGAGTTCAATGTATTTCCAGAGATTAGCTCTGATTTGCTTACCCAATCAGGTAATTGTATCCCTCTTGCCACAATAAGCATCAGGTCTAATAGCCATCAGGTTTTCCTGGCTAAAGGGCAATATGCCCCAATTTGAGCCAATAATATATGAGGGCTTAGCAGAGATACTCTGAAAAAGAAGGTCCTGAGTCTTTTGAGAGCATTACCAGGTGGATGGCTGCCCTTCTTGGTTTGCCTGGGACTTAAGGATTTCCCTGGACTTAGAAATGTCAGAGCTAAATCCAGGTTGGCCCTGGGCAAACCAGAATAGTCATTATATCTGCTAGAAGCCAACACTTTCTTCCCTTCTGGGAAGTATGATGTATGTGAAATTTATAACTTCTGAAGACTATTGCCATAAAGAAGGAAGCTAGCCTTATAATGAAATTGACAGAACAGTAGGTTACCAGAAAAATGTAAAGAAATTGGACGTCAATAAATCCTTAAATCAAATTCTAAAATTCTTCTACCTTTGGTCTTTCCAGTTAGATTAGCCAATATATTCCTTTATTTTTATGCTAACTTGAATTTAGATTCTGATACTTAAGGATTTCTTAAGAATAAAGAGAATACTAATTGGCCTTCAATAACTGTGACAGAGAATACTACTTGACTTTAATAATCATTTTTTTCCTTTCTGTGGTAACAGAAGCTCTAATTTTTAGATGGGTATAACTTCCCAACATTTCCCGACCTTTCTTGTGGCAAGTTGTGGCCTTGTGACTGTATTGTAGCCAAAAAGATGTAAGCAGAAGATCTATCTGCAACCTTTAGGAAGTGTCCTTAAAAGAGAGGAACCATGGGCCTTCTCCTTTTCATTCTTCCTGTGATGGCTGAATCTCATCATTTTGAATCTGAGACAGTCATGAGGGAATCAAGTTCATGCATGGCAGAGCATCAAGAAAAAAGGGTCATTGGGCTGAGGATGTGGCTCAAGCGGTAGCGCGCTCGGCTGGCATGTGCAGGGCACTGGGTTCGATCCTCAGCACCACTTAAAAAATAAAATAAAGATGTTGTGTCCACTGAAAACTGAAAAATAAATATTTTAAAAAAAGAAATAAAGGACCATGGGTTCCTAATACAATAAAACATATCAACCTTGGGCTACTTACTTCCTGTTTGTATTTTACAGATATATTGTGGAGTTTTCTTTGTCATTCACAGCTGAATCAACTCCTAAGTAGCACTAAATCTTATGTATTTCACTATGTGCTTTCTTATAAGTCAAACTCCCATCATGTAAGTGAATCCCACTCCAAATTCTGAATTACTTAAAATTTTATGTGACATTTTGGTGGGTTAATTGAGTATTAATAGAAAACATGTTATACTACAACCAGAGAAACACACACAAAACAATGGAGGAGTACACATCAGTGTATTTTTCTTCTAATTAAATGTTGGTGTCTTAAACCCTCCAATTATTGTAAGTCAATTGTGGATCCAATAGTTCGACTTATAATATTTGGGTCTAGAAATATCTTTTTAAAATTGTTTACACTCAGTCAGCTTTAAAATAGTGTAAAAGTAAAGATAAAAAACTATAATTCAAATGATCTCATCACTATTTTAGGAAGGATCTACTTCTATATAAGAAGGAGTAAGGGGCAGGGGTTGTGGCTGAGCAGTAGAGTGCTTGCAATGTGCGTGTGAGGCCCTGGGTTCGATCCTCAGCACCACATAAAAATAAATAAAAACAAAGGTGTATATATATATACACACACACACACACACACACACACACACACACACACACATACACGCCTTCATATATATGAAAAAGGACTAAGTCCTGTCTTTCCCAATGAACATAGGGAAAAAATGCATAGATCAGTTATTTGAGGATTCTGAAAAGTAAATAGAACCAGGAAAGTTGGGGAAGAAGAGATGAATTTGAAGTGTCAGAGTGAATTGAACTTGCAGAGAGTTTAGTGCTTCCCCCTCTGATACCCTAGCCTGGACTCAATGCAGCCAAAGAACTGGAAGCACAGATTATGGCTACAGGATTTGGAAGAGTTTCCCAATATATAGTGAGAATATAGGGGATCCCATATACTTTCTTTGTTTCTTTTCACCATTCTTATATCCCAAGTAATCCTCTAACAGTAGCAGTAATGTAACAGTAATGATAAAAGGAGCCAGCAAGTGCCTAAAACTTTGAGGAAAGGGAACATTTCTTTTTGATTAGAGGGGCTGTGCTGCCAAAACTCTAAGCACAGGGTAAGTGGAAAACCTGCATTGCTTTTTTTCCATCTCTGTACTCCCATGGCTTGACTCCAGACAAAGGCACAGTCACAGGAAGTGAACAGCAAAGTGTGCTACATAAAACCCTAGCTTTTTGATCAGAGAACTATAAAGGGACACCCCAGGGAACTGGTCAAAAACAAGACAACTGATTAGAAGGAGCAGCTCTGGAAAGAAGAATTCATTTATTCCAGGCTAATTTCCAAGCTTTTAGTGCGTGCATCTAAAACACAACACCATACCATAGACCTTGAGAGCTGAGCTACTCTTCTTACCCAGAATCTTGACTGGCCACTAGGTGGTAAACATGCAGAACAGATTCAAACAACATTGTAAAACCTTTGAAAATTGAATTGATAACTGAAATCACAACCTGGAGAAGTCTGGTTGAAACTTAGTCTTATCTCAACCATATTGATTGCCTTTTGAAACAAGAATATCAAAGTTATAGGATTTAAACAAAACCTATAGTCATGCAGAATAATATTCAAAATATCCAAAATACAATCTAAAATTACTCAGCTTTGAAAAAAGCAGGACAATCTAAAAAGGGAAAAGAAAACATACTAAGATGACACAGATATTGTAGTTCTCTGATAGAATTTTTTTTTTTTAGTTGTAATTGGACATAATACCTTTATTTCTCTTTATGTGATGCTAAGGATCGAACACAGGGCTAGGCAAGCACTCTACCGAAGAGCCACAACCCCAGCCCTCTGATAGACTTTTAAAGCAGTTATTACATAACTATTTCAAGAACACTCTTGAAATAAATAAATAAATAAGAAAGTGTCAGCAAAAACATAGAAGAAGCAAATGGAAATGTAAGAATTGAAAATATAATAACCAAAATCATGAGATGAGCTCAAGGACAGATGGCAGAGAAAATCTAGTAACCTCAAAGGTATATAATAGAAATTAGTAATCTGAACAACAGAGGAAGAAA